TCATGACCTGAGCTGAAGGCAGCCGCTTAACCGACTGAGCCACCCAGGCGCCCCTCTTGTGTTTTTAATACTATCCATCCTGACTTGCGTAAGGTGACATCTCATTGTGGTTTTGATTTTTATTTCCCTGATTATAAGGGATGTTGAACACATTTTCATGAGTCTGTTTGCCCTCTGTATGTCTTCTCTGGGATAATGTCTATTCCAGTCATCTGCCCATTTTTAAATTGGATTATTTGGGGTTTTTTTTCTGTTGAGTTGTATAAGTTCTTTATATAATTCGGATATTAACCCCTCATTGCACATATCATTTCCAAATATCTTCTCCCATTCAGTAGGTTGCTTTTTCATTTTGTTGATGGTTTTCTTCACTGTGCAAAAGCTTTTTAGTTTGATGTAATCAAATAGTTTATTTTTACTTTTGTTTCCCTTGCCTGAGGAGACATAACCTGAAAAATACTGCTAAGGCTGATGTCAAAGAGATTAGTGCCTATGTTTTCTTTTAGGAGTTTTATGGCTTCAAGCCTCACATTTAGATTTTTAATCCATTTTGAGTATTTTTGTGTATGGTGTAAGAGAGTGGTCCAGTTTCATTCTTTTGCGTGTAGCTGTCCTGTTTCCCAGCACCGTTTATTGAAGAGACTGTCTTTTCCTCATTGTATGTTCTTGCTCCCTTTGTGGAAGATTAATTGAGTGTATAAGGATGGGTTTATTTCTGGGCTATTTTTTCCATTGATCTATGTGTCTATTTTTTGCCAGTACCATACTCTTTTGATTATTATAGCTTTGTGGTTTATCTTGAAATCTGGAACTGTGATACCTCCAGGTTTGTTCTTAAGATTGCTTTGGTTCTTGGGGGTCTTTTCAACAACAGTTTTTGAATAGCAAAGCATTTATTTCTCTCTTATTGCCTCTCATAAAGAGTGTCATTCAGTTAAAGTTATCTTACTGTAACCATCGAGGACTTGTTGAAAACAGGGAGAAATATTAAATTTCATTTGACCGTATGACTAATAGATTCATACTTGAGTTAATTATTGAGGGTAAGAATCTTAATGATTGATAAAATCTGTTGAGTATTGAGGCAGACCAAGGTCAGAAGATATGAATAATTGTACATTTTGTTTTTATGGAAAAATATGGTGGGTAAAAGGAAGAGCATGAACTCAGATGAGTGATCATGAGATATAAAGTAGATGTACTTCATTTATGGATTGGTTTCTCTTTATCAATTTACCATTGATGGTTCTTTCATAAGCTCTGACATGTTAAAAAAGTAATGTGTTTTAACAAAAGGATTTATGATTTTATATATATATACTTTTGTAATTTTTGTCACAGTCATTTGAAAGTATCTACCTCTTAGGAAACACTAATCAGATTCAGATCTAGTCCCATGTGTAACTCTAGAACTCTCCATTTTTTTTTTTAAAGATTTTATTTATTTTTTAACAGCGAGAGACACAGTGAGAGAGGGAACACAAGCAGGGAGAGTGGGAGAGGGAGATGCAGGCTTCCCGCTGAGCAGGGAGCCCGATGTGGGGCTCGATCCCAGGACCCTGAGATCATGACCTGAGCCGAAGGCAGACGCTTAATGACTGAGCCACCCAGGCGCCCCACTCTATAACTCTCCAAATTGCTTACTTGACTGATTCCTGAAGAGTAGTTTTAGAGTAGGCACCATTGTTTGGCAGTGACCTTAGGAATTTTCTCTAATTAGGTTAGGAAGAAAATTAGATCTTCTAGTTCTGTATGTCATAATGTCTTGCCATGTAAGAGGATATGAGGGAAAGGACTAGAACCTGCCTTCTTCACCATTCTGTGCTTAGCCGCTAGCATAGGAGACACTCAATAAAGACTGAATCAATGCATATATATATTTAAATATTGACATAACTTGCTCATCTTGTAGGACGATTTTCACAAAGATTCCAAGGTATAACTATGTGGATTCTGATTTCACATATACTAAATTTGAGAAAATTGAAAAGCAAGCACATGAAAATTATTATGCAAGATACATTAAACATTTAAGAAGTGCGCGCCTGCGGAAACAAGCAGAGAGGTAAAGGTCACCTCCTCAAACAGTATGAAACGGATCGTGGTGCCTGCGGAGCCAGATTTTTTTTCTTTACTCCTTAGTTTCTTTTTAGTGAATTAAGTGACCTTTTCATATATGAAAATAGCGAAAGCTTGAACTCCTTTAACTGCAGTTATTTCCTTCTTTCCTTTTGGTTCGGGAATGTCTTAACATTGTTTTGTTTCCCCAGAAGCAGTTCTTGAGATGGGTTCCAACACAGTGTTCTTTTAGGGGAGACAAGATGAGGGAAGCATGATAGGGCAGGGGAGGGAACTGAGAAATGATATGTTTCAGGTAAGGCTTACACTCAGCCTGATGCCTAGGGTCTCTTGAAGCATAAATTATGCCACGTAGATGTTCCTGCGTTGTGCCAAAGAGGTTGTCTTTTTTTTTTTTTTTTCTTTTAAAGGGGCTCCTTTCTGCTGTCAGCCATTGATTGTGAGCTGTCCTTGGTTGTGGTGGGGTGGGCCTGACTTCCTTGGTGAGGTCTTTGAGAATGGGGTCTTCTCAGCAGAAGGTAATTTTATGCAGATCAGGGCCTCATTCTTCCTAAGTGGTTCTGAGTGTGTCAGCAGCAGCATGAGCAATGGGGAATGTTGGGATTTGCCAGTGTATTTTCTAAAACCCTTGGCCTCAATTAGTTATTATTGTGATTTCAATAGGGAAGGCATGGATTCATATAATGATACAGACATAGGATTACAGCCAGCGTCTGGTCTAAAGTCACCTTCACTCTCCGAAACGGAAATAGAAGAGGAATTATATTCAGCAAAGTGTCTGATTAAACCTAACCAATTACTAAATACCAGAAATATAGAATCCAAGGAGATGAAAGCTCTGAGAAGAAAGGCATGTGCAATATTTTACATTCCATTAAGTCATGAAAATTCTTAAAATATCTTTTGCTAATATTGAATATTAATCTTGGAGTAACATTTTCCCACAGGTTCTCAAAAGACTTAAATCGGACCCATCCACGCCCCATGAAAAACATGATTGCAGCTTAATTTTGACACCAAAGCAAATTCATCAAGTAATTGTCGGTAAGAATATATCAGAAGCTATTAAAGCCTTTGTTTTTTTTAACAGGTTTATTGGAGCATAATTTATATTCCATAAAATTGACCTGTTTAAAGAATGCAAGTCAGTGAATTTTAGTAAGTTTATGGGATTATGCAACCATCATCATAATTCAATTTTAGAATGCTGCCAATCACCCTCAGGACCATATGTACTTACTCCCAAATCCCACCCCAAGCCCCAGGCAACCGTTAATCAATTTTCTCTCACTGTGGATTTGCCTCTTCTGAACATTTCATGTAAAAGGAATCGTACAATATGTGGTCTTTCATATATTGCAGCTTTTACTTAGCATAATGATTTTGAGGTTCATCCAATAGGTATAAATAGGTATAAATATTTTCTTCCTTTTTATGTCTAAATAGCATTTCATTTTATGGGAGTACCACATTTTGTTTATCCATTTACCAGTTGATGGACACGAGCTGTTTTCAGTTTGAGGCTATTGTGAATAATGTTGCTATAAATGTTCGCATATAATTCTTTGAACATATGTTTTCATTTCTTTTGGTTAGATTCCTAGGAGTGGAATTGCTGAGTTGTGTGGTAAATTCCTGTCTAACATTTCAAGAAACTGCCAAAAACATTCCAAAGTGCACCAAGTTACAGTCCCACCAACAGTGCACGAGGGTTACAATTACTCCACGTTCTCACCAGCAGATGTTATTTTCTTTCTTTCTTGATTATAGCCGTCCTGGTGGTGTGAAATGTTCTCACTGTGTTTTGATTTGCATTTTCCTCGTGACTAGGGTGTAGAATATATTTTCATGCATTTAAATTGACATAAATGTATATCTCCTTTGGAGGAGTGTCTTTCAAATTCTTAGCCCAATTTTTTTTTTTTAAAGATTTTATTTATTTATTTGAGAGAGAGAGAATGAGAGACAGAGAGCAGGAGAGGGAGGAGGGTCAGAGGGAGGAGAAGCAGACTCCCCACTGAGCAGGGAGCCCGATGCGGGACTCGATCCCGGGACTCCAGGATCATGACCTGAGCCGAAGGCAGACGCTTAACCATCTGAGCCACCCAGGCGCCCCCTTAGCCCAATTTTTAATTTGAACATTTGCCTTCTTATTGCAGAGTTGTAAGTATTGTTTATATATTCTGGATACAAGTCCTTCATCAGATATATGATTTCCAACGTCTGTGGCTTGTTTTTGTTTTTTAGTTTTTAAATAGTGTTGTTTAAAGCACAGAAGTTTTTACTTTAAGTGAAATTGAATTTATCGTTTTTTAAAAAAAATTTATTGTAATTTTTTTTCTTTTGTAGATCATGCTTTTGATTTCATACCCAAGAAATCTGTAGCTAACTCAGTGTCACAAACATTTTCTCTTGTTTTCTTCTAAAATGTTTATAATTTTTGATCTTACATTTAGTACTACAATTCTATTTGGGTTAATTTTTATGTATGTTGTGAGTTAAGAGTCTAAATTCATATTGTTGTATGTGGCTGTTCAATTGTCTTAGCAACATTTGTTGAAAATACTATAATTCCTCATTGAATTAATTGCCTTAGCACGCTTGTTGAAAATCAATCAACCATATATATCAGGCTTTATTTCTAGTCTCAGTTCTGTTCCGTTGATCTGTATGTCTGTCCTTATGACAGTTCTACACTGTCTTTGGTACTGTGCCTTTAGAGTAAGTTTTGAAATCGGTTAAGTGTAAATCCTCCAAATTTGCTCCTTTTTCAAGGTTGCTTTGGTTATTATGGATATAAATCAGATTTTATTAAGACCCTCTTTGTCTTTCTTCTGGATCTCTTGCTTGTCCCAATCAGTATTGAAACCTCAGGTCATGATGTTGACCTTATCTGAATGTTTGCCGTTGAGATAATTATAATTTTGACAACATCCCTAGGCATGAGTTAAGAAACAAGTGACAGGGGCGCATGGGTAGCTTAGTCGGTTAAGCGTCTGCCTTCGGCTTGGGTCATGATCCTGGAGTATGAGATCGAGCCCCGCATTGGGCCCCCTGCTCAGCGGGGAGTCTGCTTCTCCCTCTCCTCCTTCCTTGCTCGTTCTCTCTCACTTGCTCGCTCTCTCCTAAATAAATAAATAAAATTTTAAAAAAAAAAAAAAACAAGTGACAGTTCCCTTGCGGAGGTGTTAAACAGTATCCCTCCCTAGGTCATTTTCACTATTAAAAGATGATTATGGTTAAAGAAATAGTAGTCTATACTAGTCTGCAGAGGAAGTTTGTATTTCATTCTAGGCAGGATTAGGGTGGCCCTGAGGAAGATGTGGGCAGAAGATGATTAATTGGTATGGATGTGCTGATTCTCCCTCTAGGGAGAACTCAGTGCACAAAACACCAAATACCAATTCTTTTGTTATCCAGACTAAAGGTGCAAGGTCAGAGGCAACACAGTGGGAAGTGCTTAAATAGCTGGGTGGTGATGGCTTGGTCTGGCTAGTCAGTGGCCAAGTCTCAGATCAGTGAGGACTGTGGGAAGTGCCCAAACCAGGATCTGGCTTCTGGGGAAAGCGGGTGACATGGACTGGCAAAAAGAGTTGGAATCTCCCCCCATTCACTGAGGTTCTGAATGGGAAATAGGATTCTGTGCTGTAAGAGCACTAGAACTAAACCTCCCTGCCACACAGTGACAGTGAGGCCCTTGGGCATGGCAGACTGGGAACTCATTAGTTCATTGCCTGTCTGGAGTTGTGGATGCAGTTCATTTCAGGTTAAATGTCATTTACTGTGCCTCACTTTTGTGCCAGGCATGTGATGGGTACCGGGGTTTATAGTCCCAGGGACTTACTTTCATTATTGGGTGTTACATGCCCTGTGTCTTCCAAATTGGTGACTGATTAATCAGATAAGCAAATCTATACAGATTCAAAAGGAGCAAAGTTAGAAGGCAATGTCCAGTGTCTCTTCTACAACTCCTCCACCAGCTTCTCTCCCTTCTTCACCTGGTGTCCTGAGTATTTTAATAATGACCCTTTCTCTGGGGACGGGGTCCCTGTGTGAGTTTACAAGGTCAGCAACAGCGATGGTGGGAATTTTGTATCACTCTCAGTTTTATACCTTGAAGGTGTTTTTTGAGCCTCTGCACAGAACGGGGACTGGCACGATCAATGGAGATTACAATTTCAGAAAATTTTGCTCTGTATTTATATTTTAGAAAAGTGAAGTGGGGACCCCTGGGTGGCTCAGTCCGTTCAGCATCTGACTCTTCAGCTCAGGTTATGATCTCAGGGTCGTGAGATCGAGCACCACGTCGGGCTCCAACGCTGGGCTTGGAGCCTGCTTCAGATTCTCTCTCTCCCTCTCTCTCTGTCTTTCTCCCGCTTCCTCTCTCTCTTTCTTTCTCTCTCAAAAAAAAAAAAAAAAA